GCAACTGGACGATAAAGATAACATCCACGATCTCATCCCCAGGCAGCCGCTGGAGGTGCACGAGACCGTAGCAGAATGTATGATTCTGGCCAACCACTGGGTGGCAAAAAAGATCTCGGAAGATTTTCCTCATCAAGCTTTGTTGCGTCAACACCCTCCACCACGACAGGAATTTTTTACTGAACTTCGAGAATGTGCCAGTGCCAAAGGTTTCTCAATAGACACCGGGTATCTCTTATTACTTATCTTAAGCACTTTAATTAAAGTTAAGCAATTAACTGTTTGGCTGTTATCGTTACAGACCATTACAGTTCTGAGTATCAGTGTCAGCCATAGCGATTGTCCTGGGTTGGGTAAAAGTTTGCTGGTGCTCCCAAACCAGGACAGCAATTCTTAAAAAACCAAATTCACCAGAACCTTTCTGTGAGTGGGAGCTGATGTTCTAAACAGGAGATGCTGCTGCATTTTGCCACCTGTCCCAAGAAGGGCAGCATCTGAATTGGTTTAGACGTGTCCAAAAAGAACTTGTTCAGTCCCCGTGTAGGTGGTCAGTTTCTGCAACAGCCTCGTTTGCACCATATTTCCTGTAATAGTAGCGGAAGAGAGAACTTGTTTAACTTAATCATTTCTCTAGAGTAGAGCCATTACTAAACTGTGTTAAAAGTTTTATTATTGTTCTGATTGTCATTCTTACTTGCATATTAATAACTATTAGTAGATTTTTACACACTACTTTTAACTATAAACTATTAGGATCAGGGATAGCATAATTTTTTTCAGAATTAACGCTCTTTGGACAGGTCTAACAAAGCACTGGCTGAGTCTCTGGATAAAGCAAATGACCCGTCGGATCCAGTTGTAAATAAGCTGTTGCGATCTATGGCCACTCACGCGATGTCTAACGCGTTGTACTTCTCAACTGGCTCTTGTCCCGAGGAGGAGTTTCATCATTATGGTACCCCGCCACATCACTTTTCATGCTCTTCCTGTTATTATTTCTGAATTCTTGGGGGTGGGGGGCAGTTAATTGCTTGGATTGCTTACTGCTGCCTCCTTTTGTCTTTGTAGGACTTGCCTTAGAGAAGTACACTCATTTCACTTCCCCCATCAGAAGATACGCCGACATTGTCGTCCACAGGCTCCTGACAGCAGCAACTCTGAATGAAACTAAAGGGGATGTTAAGGATAATGTACTGAGTAACAAGGATCTCGAGGAACTGTGCAGACACGTTAACAACAGAAACCGGGTAAGAGGGCTGCTGTGTGTGTCTTCATATGTTTGCACACTGCCCCCAGACTGGGATACCAATCCTGACTGTGGCTTTCGAGTTCTACAACATAGTATCACTCATTTTTGCTTACAATGCTTTTTTTTTTCTTTTTTTCACCTTAAATAACTTTTCCTCTGAGAGTGATAGTAACAGTGACTTCATGCTGTACTACATGTAGGATTTCCTTTCAGATGTAACTTTTCTAGGGGACATGTAAGGGAGTAAGTAATGGGAAGAAGCAGCTATGGAAGTCAAAGCCCAACAAGCTCGTTGAAGTATTTATTTAGCTGTCTTCTCTTTTTGTGGGGGGGTGCTTGCAGGCAGCCCAGCATGCTCAGAAACAGTCTACGGAACTCTTCCAGTGCATGTACTTCAAAGACAAAACCCCAGAAACAGATGAGCGCTGCATAGCAGATGGTGTTATTTACTCAATCCGAACCAATGGCGTGCTTGTGTTTGTTCCAAGGTGAGTTGATTAGAGCTTGGACTTGAGCTTACAGGTAAGACATGTGACTAGAATGCTGTGAGGACACCTCTGGTCCTCGAGGAAGTGTTTGTAGCAGGGCCAGGTGTTGACCTATGACTGTGTTTTAGGTTTTTGTTGTAAATCATAAGCATTGACTCTGCAAAGGAGTTCCTATGAGGAAGTGATAAGACTGTGCTGAGCAGTTTCTTTCAAAACATTAAAAGGACTTTTTTTGCCCAAGAAGCTGCCTGGACAGAATAATTACTGGAACATTCCCCTCACCCCATTTTCTTTGTTTGTGTTTGTGGGGTTTATTAAACAATGGAAAGTGATTCTTCCAAATGCAAAGCCCTGCATTCCTCAGCACTCTTAGTAGTTACACACACTAGGACCACCTTTGGAACAGCTACTGCGAGGCAGCAGGGAAGTGTAGAAGAAATGTTTCCATGGTGCTGTTGGTGGCAGTTGGGCTCTTCCACTTGCCTGTATCGCAGCTCAGCCTCCGCTTTATGCTAGTAGAAACCAACTCTTTGCACGACACTAACATTACATTTTAATTTCAGAGCTTTTTTAATCTGTATTGCAAATTTTACTACATGTGTTCAAAAAATTGACTAGTGAATGATGTGAGAAGGAACTGCTTACCACAGAACTGGAGAGCACTGCCTCTCCTAAGTCTTGGCCAGCTCTTCAGGAAGATCCTTTCCCTTATTGACTCTGGACATCTTGGATTAGTTACTGTTCTTTGTGGTTTTTAGTGGTAGCAGTTACTTCATGCATTACTGGTAGCAACACTCTCTACCTGGCTTGCTAACAGGCACAAGAAATGTAGGCGTAAGAACTCTTCCTTTAAAAAAAAAAGGAAAGAAACAAAAGCCCAGAAACATTCTACAGGGATGTCAGGGAAAGCAAAGCATTACAGGAATACCTTGGCCTTCCATGGGCACAGCCAGGGGCTGCTCGGTCCTGGCTACGGACTGAGTTTAGATACAAACCAGCTCGATGCAGGCCCATAATCTCCAGCGTTGTACAGGGATGTGTGGCTGAAGAGCCAGAATCTACGAACTCCAGGCAGCTTCCTTCCCGAGAACTCCGTGCAGGCACGCTGCTGTTTCCTCACCGCAGTCTGGAACAACCTGTAATGCTGCTTTTCTTCCATCATCATCCGGCCATTCTCAGCTCCACCCCGTGCTTAAGACTGTGGGTCACCGACTGGATTTTATTTCTGCTTTGCTGCTTTCACCACACTCCAGTCGCTGTCTCGATACTGTTTTTCTATCTGCTGTTTCTTCGGCAATGCACATGGGTGTCCCTCAAACGGGATTATGCTGCAGTGTCAGCCCCTTTATGTTGCTTTTATATAATCCTAGCTAGCGTTCTGTTGGTTTGAAAATGGAGGGAACTGGAAAGGGTGACCATGTTAAAACAGCTTCTGTCTGCTCCTCTGCTTCTTTGTAGATATGGAATCAAAGGTGCTGCGTATATGAAGAACAAAGAAGGCTTAGTCATCTCGTGCCGGGGTGACGGGAGCTGTGAGTGGAAGCCTGGATCACTTCATCGCTTTCAGAACAAAATAACTTCCACGACAACTACTGGAGAATCAGTTACATTAAGCCTTTTTGATCATGTTACAGTGAGTATTTAATGTGAAGGAAGTAAAAGGAAATGGCGCAATCAGGAATAAAAGCATTTTTGTTTTGCTTTTCAGGTGAGAATACTTGTGCAGACTTCTCGCTGCCACGCAGACACGATCAAGCTTGAAATAATGAGGAACGCACCGTACCAGACTTCAGCCACAGAGGCTTCTCAGAATTTTCACGTGGTGAAATCCGACTTGGTCAAAGCAGTCAGTCAGTCTGCAGAAGAGGCCCAGCGTGCCCAAGAAAAAGCAAGAGTTGAAGTAATTGATGAAGACTATCAGGAATACTGCCAGACCAAGGGAGTGAGCTTATACCAGCTGCTGGAGGAGATTAGGGATTTGGCACTGTTAGATGTTTCAGCTGACATTAGAACGTGAACTGCAACCTGGCAACAGCTGCTGCTTGGGATTCTGCTCCTGTTCACTTTACTTGTTTTTTAAAGTAGTCTATTTAAATATTCAAGAATCCTTTTAATAAGAAATTATCTATTTTAAATAAGAATTATTTTTATGATTGTGAACATGTATGAGTTTTTAAAAGCTTTTATACATGATAAATCTCATCTTCCAGACCAAAGGCAGTGTGGTGAATCCTTTCAACTACCATGTACAACGTTACTTTGTCCTTTTGCCCACAAAAGAGGTTTTAAGAAGGTAACCACTTCCTACAACGGTTGCTGTCTTCTCCTAGTTTAGTGATTTTAACTCCAAGGATATAAAAAGCAAACTCCTTCACACTAACCTAGGATACAGCATTTCACTGCCTGCAATGCCCCAGCTGCACATTTGGCATTAACTAACACCCACTGACAGGAACCTGCTGTAGGTGCTGACTCTTGTAGAGTCAGTTTCTGTCCGTTATGTGCTCTGGAGAGGACAGGCTCAGGGCTTTACCCTTATGGCAACTCTTGTTCATTCCATGAAGGGGAAAAGCTATTGCGCAAGAAGGGGGGGAAAAAAACCCAAAACCCAAACTGTAAGAGGAGGATAAAATAGAGCCTCAAGCCAGGGAACGAAATTATCTGACGGAAGGTAACGAATTTGGTCAAAGCCAAAGCACGTTCCCTTGAGGGGATGTTCATGTCTGACACAAGGGCTGGGGAAGGCTGGAGGGCCTGCAGTTCTAACAGCCTCACACGAGAACTTCAGGTTTGACTTCTGAAATTTAATAGCTTCCATTTTATAAGAAAAAGATACAAGTACTTGATAACCAAGTTAAAAAAAAATCCAGGACTGCTGTTCAGACACAGCACTACCCACTATTAAAAACAACCCCAAACAAAACAACTTCAATAGAAACTTCACCTGTCAATAGCCCAGCTAATTCGGTCCCGCGTGACCTGTAAATGAAATTCAAAGGTCAAAAAAGCTCATTGACACTTCCTGAAGAATGTTGGGAGAGGAAGAGATGTCTCAAATGCAGATGAAGAACTTTCTTCCGTCTTCCAGTGTACGGAGTTCTTCAGCTGCAGTTTCAGAAGAGTCCTGTCCAACTGGACAGATGTCACAGTGAAGACTTCCACAAGCTTCAGGGAGTCGGAGTGCAGAGCCAGCAACACCTCAGTATCACAGTACTTAAACCATTGGGGTCTCTTGGTCAAGAAAGTCCAAGTATGGGAAACGGTTACTGCTTTTCACCGGCACACTCCAATTCTGCACCTCCATCTTCAGCTTCTCTAACAGCAGCTTTGGGTGCGGTAACTTCAGCATCTTCGAAAGGGTCCACAAGATCCTGAGCAACTGAGGTACTGAACTCCTCTTCCACGTAACTAGTGGAGAGCTCTGCTGGGAAAAAAAAAGAAAACAAGTTTCCTTCCATGAGAAAGTACTGTTACTGTGTGTTCGACTGCAGCTTCTGTCACCAGCATCACAGCCTGCAGGAAAGCCAAGTGCAGAGATGACCAGCAAAGCGAGTTTTGTTTCTTCAGAGACAAAGCTAGCGCACCTTGGCACGACAACTAGGGAGGGCAGCTCTGACTCTCTAACTGCAGGAACACAGTTTAAATTGGAGAGTTACACATTTTACTAGTCAAGCAATCACCACCACTTCCCTTAAACTGATTCAGCAGCTCAGTTGTGTAAAAGCTGCTCAGGCTACTGAGCTGCCCGTGCCCAAGGCAGGAGTTGCGTACCATTGTGTTGTGACTGGCTGTTCCACTGCACCTTCGCTTGCCTGCGTTCCAAGGCCAGCTGCCTGTTCTTCCTGATTCGCTCCTGCTGCTCTTCCGTGAGAGTGGTACCAGGCAGAGAATCGACTTGTTCTGCATTTCCGGAGCAGGAACGTACATCTTCAGCGGCTGGATCCAGTCCATTGCTTGCCCCTCCGCCATCTGCTTAACAATAAGGGGGTGGGAGGTGGATGAGGGGCAGAAATCAACACTTTCAACCCACAGAGATCTACTGCTAAGTTTCTGTCAAGAAAACATCTTAAAAGCATTTTTATGTTCTGTATTTTGTATGGACAACTGAAGGTAATTCTGTAAGTTAGCTTTAAAAGGCTATTTTCTGCCTACATCGACATACCTGACATTAAACAAACGACACTTATCAGAGACCCCAAACACACAACAATAAATGCTTGAATTTAGAGAGCCCCAGCTCTGCGTACTAAGTAAGCAACCACGAGCTGTGCTTGAAGGTTGAAGAGGGACGGTAAATTCAAGCGATCCTTACTGAAAGGCCAGGTAGTTTTCTTCCCAGCCCTTTGGGAAGTGGCAGCACTAGTTATGGGAATGCCAGAGGTTCGAACACAGACATTGAATAGTCAGTTTTGAATTCAATCCATTACTATTATGGAATATTTATTCCTGTGCCACCATTAAAACATGCAAAATGGAGGCAGTGCAACTCCGTTAGACAAACTTCACCCACCAACAGAGCAGCAGAGCACTCTTTCACGAGTACCTAAGGCCAAGCATGCTTGTGCCTCTGCACCACTTTAAGCCCGTGAATAGAGAATTTAGCTGGCAACAAGGTCTTGGTTTTTAACACAATACTCTAGCTTCAGTTCTTATTTGAAAACTGTCTAACACCTACTCAAGTTTTCAACTGAAGACCAGCCAGCTGCGGCAGTACACGCACCAACACGGCTCAAGAACAGATCAGCATCGCATTTAAACCCAAGTGTACGGAACCATCGCACAGAAAATCTGATAACTCTACAGACACTGTCGGCAGGAACCATTTGCTTTTCTGTTCGTGGCTGCTTACAGCTGCATTCCACTTCTAGCAAATGCAGCCACCAGCAAAGACAGCCACGTGTCACCCGTGGCCCAAAGCTTGTCCCCACAGGCGAGGCAAGGTTTTACCATTCGGTAACTCATCCACCAGAACGCCGTTCCCAAGCGCTGGCCTGCCTGGAGGCCGAGGTTCATGCAAAGACAAACAGGACGATGGGTACGTAATGGTTTCAAGAGAGATCCACTGTGGAAGTGTGAGCACTGGCAAAGGACCTCAGGAACAACTACGAGTTGCTCTCATTTCTGCTACTGAAATTTCTTTCACGCTACCAGAAAAAATCTGCTCTAGTCTGAAAACATCGTCTGATTGGAAGAGACTCTTGAATTACCTACTTGTTCAGTGGCTGAACTTTGATATTGGAAGAAGAAATACTCAATAGTAACTACGTGCCAAGACCGACAGACAGACTTACAAGTGTCCACTACACCCTGACCACCCTATGACTGCCTGCAGCACAGAGTAACGGGTCTTTGCAGTAATAGGATCCAAGAGCTCTTCAGAGTGCACACATGTAAGAGTGCAATACAAACCAGTATGTTCAATTACTAATTGCAACCTTCGGAGGTTTTTTTGGAAGAATTATTTCTAACAATATCCATTTTCTATTTCCTTTCAGTATACCACACACATTTATTTTTTTATATATATATATATGCAGTGCTTTAGTCCAAGTATCAGTTCAATTTTGTAATCCTAAAGCTCACAGAAGCTTGGGTTTAAAATAGAGGACCACTCAGCAAGTTCTTCTACGTGAGAAAAATGTATCATGATCATTAATTTCTGGTCAGTAGGAGAGGAACTAAAGTAATTTTAAGCACTGAACTACTGAACAAACAGCATAATAAACATACCTTCATTACTTGCAAAGTCCTCATGTAAAATAGGAAGATCGAGTCTAATCCGCTTTAGGCAGGTCTGCAAATGAGAGATTAAAATACTGGTATTTCATCTGTAACAAACTCTCTTGTGCAACACTGCTATAAACACTACTCCAAACATCTCTTTACACGTGATTACTCAGAAAAAAATACCCCTTTCACCACGTGTCTGTTTGACCCACAGCTTTCAATGCTGTGGATTCTTTCACTAGGCCTTCCTCTATCACCCAGTCAGATGAAGCAGTGGTCTTCATGTGTCTTCTTTTGCAGGTTCAAACAAACCCCCAAACCCAAGCAGTTCCAGCTCTCTTAAGCAAATTACTTTAGTTAAACACGTCCTGTGAAAGTCAAATCTTAAGTCCTAATTCAAATAAAGACAGGTTATATCTAAACATAAGCTTAAATACTGGAAAGAGCTGTTCTTAAAAAGAGAGAAATTAATTTAAGTAACATTACCCTCCTTAACAGCACACACAAGACTACTTCAGTTGCAGAATTGCTCTCCTAAACCTACCTCTCAGACTCCTCAGTACTGTACAAAGAGAACGAGACAGGAGCAACCCGTACCTGAACTTCCTTTTTGTTTCCCAACGACTCGACTCTGTCAATAAAGTCCTCGAACTGCAATTTTGGAAATAGCCTATGAGCCCAGTGTTCCATATGTCGTATCAGCGTCCTCAGGTCCTCTGCCTAGAGTGGAAAACAAGACTTCCAGCTAGTAAAAGCTGACTAAGTCAGCAGACTGCAGAGGGAAATGCGACAGTAACGTTTCCAAAAACATTAAGCATCTGCAGCTTGAAAATCTGCAATATAAGAATAGCGATACAAGTTCAGAATAAGCATTTATATATACACCGTAAAACATCCAACAGGCTTCTGGCACCCTGAGTCTGAACGCAGACTGAAAAAGAAAAAAGAAGCCCATGGGGACACAACTGAAATTTATTTTGATGAATTTATTTTGATACAGAAGAATGTACATCTAAATAACCTTATTTAGTAAAGATTTTTACATTTAAATAACCTTATTTAGTAAAGATTTTTGTTCAGATCAGCAGTATTGCCTCATTTCTTTGTGCCTCCAGTTGCAAAGACAAAATTTATACCATAAACATTCTCTGTAAACCAGAGATGTGCCTTTGCAAGTGTGCCAATAGCCTAATGATATTTAAAGGAAAATAAGCTTTTATATTTAAGTGTATCCAAGGCAACAAGACAGTCTGTAGAGAAAATACTGCCTTCTCTTTGCTTAAGTGGTATGGCATTCTGTTCCCAAAATTACAGCCTTTGGGACAGAGGCGTGACAGCAGCCAGAGTATTTGCAGCAACAGAGAAAACTGATCATGAGAAGGTGAAGGAATTCCAGACAACGTAGACAGTCTTATTAGCCTGCTCCAATTTCAAAAACCTCCTTCTATGGACAATACAGAAAAAGTCACAGATATGATACTCTAGCTTTGGAGTAAAGTAGTTTTAAGATCCAAACATGAATTTTGTTGAAAATTTGCAACTACAAACCTCAGCAGGGTAGTTCAAATACTGCTAGAAGGCTGGCTAACCAGAATGTACGGTCAATGCTGCCCGCAGCAGAGGGGCAGCAATCTGCCAACTCTAGATTAACCTCCCAGGAAACAAAACAAAAGCTCATTATGTCTCACCTCGTGCCCTTTACCCTTGAACTTTACATTGTCAAACACATGTCTTAGGGCTGGAAGTCCTCGTTCTGAAATTAACCTGGTAACAGGAAATGGGTGAAGTTACTTGAAAACTGTATTTTCTTCTTCCAATTAACAAAACCAACAAAAACCAACATAAGCACCCTGCCCCCCAAAAAGACAACCAAAACTCCCAGCATACAAACCAAAGTGTCTCGCTTTCCTTTAAACAGGCTAAAGCTACAGAACTCTATTTAAAAGCTGTACAGAATTAGAAATCATTAAGAAAATACACAAAATAGGATAAAGACTGCTGCAAGACTAAAACCATTAATTTTTTTTTAAATTCACTATATATGTATTTCTAGTCCAAGGAGCTTTTTGCCTTTGATTACATGAAAAGGAAAGTGGCCAGTTCTAGTATCTGTATTGGCCAGGTAAAACTAGTTAGACACGTGACCAGAGCAGCCACCTGTGATATCGTCGACTGCTTCATCCATGGATTTAAAATTGAATAAATTGAAAGCTCAGATTCTTTCCATTGCTTACAGAAAAATCTGTAACTAAAACAGCAAGTAAAATCCTTTATCTTTAAATGGAGTTTATCCAGTTTGTACGTAAGTCAGTTGTAAGCGTACCTTAGGTAGTGCCTTACAGTTACCATTAAATTGAGGTTTTATTTTGAAGCAGGCTTTAGTTAATGAAAGAAATCTACAGTACTATTCCTGAAGCAAAATAAAGATGACCCAGCTTGAAGACTCCTATGTATAAATAATAAAGATCTCTTAACAAAGCCCTAGTCCTGTACCACATCCCAAGGAGTCTTCAAGAAAGTCGGACTAGTAATAGCGTCATGCGGGTAAGGCAAGGAATAAAAAAGTTGAGATACAGCACACAGGAGGCTCTTTCACCTCCAGAACTCTTGATCTTTGACTTGGCTATGACCAAGCAGGAATCACAAAAACCTGAATTATTCTCCCACAGCCAGATACCAAATTCCTGGTCTGTAAAAAACTTACCTCTGGGCATCTAGTTTAGGCATCGGTCTTTTAACCACTTTCCGTGTAGCTACGGCAGAATCCTTAGAATCCTTTGTTTGTGACTGCTGGTTTCCTTCTGGTTCTAATAAAGAAAACATCAGATTTTAAGTATATAATGCAAGTGACATCAACTAAATTGCATCATGTAATTTTTAAGTTTCTGCCCGATCAAAAAGCAGCGTCACACGCGATGCATTGCAGGTACAGTGCTCCAAACCACCACCAGCATATTTCACCTGGCTCCTCCCACAAGACAGACTGAAAATAACTCTCTCGCTTCAAAATATACTGAGGAATCAACTTTTCTAGCAAAGTAGGTTCCTTGAAAGGGAGTTTTTCTAGTTTTACAACTTCTATATTGTACTTCTGATGAGAAATATATTGACAGTAGATGCTGCTTCCAAAAGTTAAGAAATTCATATTATCAATAAACATTGATAGGCGTGTCCCAAAATTTCCATCTATAGGTCTGAAAGACAGACCTAAACCACCAGCACTGCCTTCAAAAAACAAACCATGTGTGACCAGTCACAATCAGTGTGTCTGTTAAGGACCAAAAATTATTAGGGCCACTAAACATTATTTGACTGCAACAGAAAAGGGACCACTGACCACCTCAGAGCTAGCCATCACTTCTCAGACCGATTTCTCGGCTTACTTTAAACATCAGGAAGTTCTCCTTTTCACATATCCATGACTTAAATTTATCCAAAATTCTATTTTCTAGTGGACAGACAGAGCAGAGATCAAGGAAAAGGTATCTTTAACACTATAGGCAAATATGTGCAGAAATAAACACAGCTAAAATAAAATCTTTATACTTTCTGTTAGCTTGTTTAGTACACAGGAAGATCTTTTCAAATAAAAGAATTAAGTTTTACTGTCCTGAGGTGTCTTGGATTTCTCCTAAGTCATATGCTCTACCAACTCTAACATCTCCCCGGAATACTTCATTCCACACTCTTGCCTCTTCTGAAATCTAAGTCTTAAAGGGTAACTACAGATCGCAGCTGTATAATTATCTCTACCAAGATTTTGTCAGAAGATTCATTAGTGTGCGTTATCAATCTACCAAAAAAAAAACCCACCAAACTTTTCCCACAGTCTCGGAAGCACAGAATCAGTAACAACTTAAATTGACAAGTTGTTTCCTTATCTAGACAAGACTGTTTTTATGCCGTAAACTCGAGGTAGTGAAGAACACCACCGAGAATATCCTTTTCTCAGCATTTTGTTGCCTATATTGCAAAATGGGATCTTTAGGGGCCACGGGTGTTCACCTCCGTTAGCTTGTGCCCATTCGCCATCATCCCTTCCTGGAGAGTCAGGAGGTGGAAGAGGCGGGAACGTTTCATCCTCTGTGTTCTCATAATCAGGAAGATCAAACAAGTTGTTCTCTAAAGGATCCATCATTTTTCTTTCTTTCCTGCAGGAAATATTAAAAGCATTTAAAGAGAAGCAGCAAGGAGAAGAGACGGCCACAGCCGCTCATAAAACACCAGTTACACACGGAATGTCCACAGCTTTTGCAGAAAAAAAGATTTGCCGGCACGGAGCAGTCACACAGAGAGGGGAACAGCAGACACCCCACAGACCCCAGCCAGCCCCGCTCGGCCCAGCGAAACCCGGGCTCGTCGTGTTTCAACTCAGCCCAAACACCTGCGGGCTCACAGAACAAAAAAAAAGAGAGGATTTCTAAGCACAGCACTTCTCAAGACAGCTGCCCGCCCCTCACACCCCGATAACCGAGGACAAAGGGCCGCGGGGTGATTAACTCCTCGGAATTACAAACTCACCCACTGCCAAGCGCAGAGCGCAGCACAATTCGCCTTTTCCG